CAGTTATTCCCTCCCTCGGACTGTCCCACAAACTCAAAATGATCTTCATTCCTTCACTCTTCCCTCCTCCCGCGCCATCTGTCTTATATGCCGGTTAAAATTGGGCAGACAGAGAACCATCCAGCTTTGTCATGTTTTCCATGTCATCCAATGTGATTAACAAGGCACTGGAGAAAGATGGAACTGGTGGGGATTGCAGATGTCTTTATCTGTGGGTTTGGGGCACTGAGACAGTGTTGAAATACATTTAGTGCTTTATAAGTCGCAAGATTGGGTAGCATGAAAATCTACCATAGGTCTGTGATCGTATGATACATGCAAGTTAATAAATTGCCAACTGTTCCTAATGTGTATTATTAGTTATGATTAGAGATGGGGGTATTCTGTATTTATTTGTATATGCATACGAATATCCCTACAGAGCTGGACTAAATGAGGGTCAGGCTGGACTGTCCACTTATGCATCCTGCTGTGGTGCCGGCCCTGCTTATCCTTCCATTTGTGCCCAGAGCGCTGCTGTCTTCTTGTTTGGTGGGCCACTCCAGGAAGGGGACAGAAGGATGAGTCTACCTGCACAGCTGCTGAGCGGGAAGAGAGCGATATTCTGGGTATGATTGGAACAGCCCTGCAGCAGGACGCAGAAGTGGACGGTCCGGCCCTGGAGGCCAGACCCTCATTAAGTCCAGCTGCGTGGGGGTATTCATATACGAACACGAATACCCCCATCAGTAGTTATGATGTCACGCCCCTTCTCAACCTTTGCAGTAGGCATCCTTCAGTCTCGAGAGACTATGGTAACGTGCTCTGTATGGAGGTCTTGGAACAGTGTCTTGTGTGGCTGAGAAGGCCAATTCGAGAGTGACAATCTCTTCCACATTGAAGACAAATACAATCTGTCCCCTGTCCAGCGCCCTGGTTTGGCTGGTTTCGGGACTGCCTCTTTGCCTCGGCCTGCTGTACAAGTGTCTCTTCAAATTGGGAGAGGCCATGATGCACTGCCTGCCTCCAGGCTGAACGCTCAAACGTCAAGGTTTCCCATCTGTTGAGGTCCATTTCTAAGGCCTTCAGATCCCGCTTGCAGATGTCCTTGTATCGCAGCTGTGGTCTCCCTCGGGGGCGGCTTCCCTGCACTAATTCTCCATACAGGAGATCTTTTGGAATCTGACCATCAGCCATTCTCACGACGTGCCCAAGCCAACGTAGACGGCGCTGTTTCAATAATGTATACATGCTGAAAATTCCAGCTCATTCTAGGACTACTCTATTTGGAACTTTGTCCTGCCAGGGGATACCAAAAATCCGTCGGAGACAACGCATAACGAAGGTGTTCAGCTTCCTCTCCTGCCGTGCACAAAAGGTCCAGGACTCGCTGCAGTACAGGCATGTGCTCAGGACACAGGCTCTATAGACCTGGATTTTGGTTTATGCCGTCAGCTTCTTATTAAGCCATACTCTCTTTGTGAGTCTAGAGAACATGGTAGCTGCTTTGCCAATGCGTTTATCTAGCTCGACATCTAGGGAGAGAGTGTCAGAGATTGTTGAGCCGAGGTACACAAATTCATGAACAACCTTCAATTCTTGCGTGGAGAAGATAATAGAGGGAGGTGAGTCCACGCCCTGGCAGATGACTTGTGTTTTCTTCAGGCTGATAGTTAGTCCGAAGTCTTGGCAGTCCTTGCTAAAACGATTCATGAGTTGTTGGAGGTCTTCAGCAGAGTGGGCAACAATGGCTGCATCATCGGCGAAGAGGAAGTCCCGCATGCATTTCAGTTGGACTTTGGTCTTTGCTCTCAATCTAGTGAGATTAAAGAGTTTTCCATCTGATCTAGTCCAGAGATAGACACCTTCTATTGCAGTTCCAAAGGCCTGCTTCAGCATGACAGCAAAGCAGATCCCAAACAGGGTTGGCGTGAGGACACAACCTTGTTTTACTCTGCTTCGGATGTCAAAGGGATCTGATGTTGAGCTCAACCTTTAAGCCATAGTTTTTTATGTAGGTTAATGGGTATGGTGTGTAAAAAGTGCAGTCTTCAGTTTGTCATGTCTGTGTGTGCTGAACCAGTTGGAGATTTTCTACATAAAACTACAATTTTGCAATAATTAGAAAAATGCAAAACCTTAGAAAAAATATAAAACCACTTATATTTTACTATGCGTGTAACTTATATCTGGAAATGCTGCTGACACATAACATGTAATAATGTTGTTTACAATATCTTACCTAGACAGTTTTGGTAGGTCTCTTGACTCAAATTTAGTACATCTTGTTGCTTACAAGCTCTTTTCCCTTGATGGCTGAACCTATCCATGGTTAGTTTAGAAGTAAGCTAAATATAAGAACTACTGGATAGCTCAGTGGTTGAGGTATCTGGTTGCGAATCCAGATTCTGGGAGTTCAATTCCTCACTTTGCCTCCATGACAAGAGAGGCACATGATTCTATCCTTAGAGTCCCTTCTAGCTCTGCAGTTGTAGCATACAAATAAATTATATCTTAGTAAGCTCTAGCTGGCTGGGTAGATGAGTGAGTTAAATATCTGGCTATGGAGCCAGAGGTTGGGATTTCAGTTCTTCACTGTGCATTCCAGAAGAACCAGCCTGTGTGGCGTTGGGCACGTTACACAGTCCCAGATGCCCCCAGAATGGTAAACCACTTCTGAGTACTCTCTATCTAGTAAATCCTGAAAATGGTCGCAGAAAAAAATACATATTTTTAGTTTTCTATTTTCACTTATGTAGTCTGTTTTATTTCTGTGTTGTCCATCTGGTAATGTCCATGTATGCAGTTGTCTGTTCAGTTGTATGAAGCATGTATTGGCAATATTTTTGAATGCAGATAATTCTGTCAGTTGTTCTTCTGTTTTGTTTTTGTACCCCAGGACAAATTCTCCAAGAGTGTTTGATTCTCCCTTACCTTGCACTTCCCTGTTCCAGCCACACATGATTATTAGCACATGCTGTTTTGGTATTTGATCAGCACTTGCATCAAAGCTGTCTATTCTTCTTTCTGTAATTAAAACATAGACTTGAATGATGGTTTAGCTGATAGGCTTTCCAAGAAAATACAGTGGTGCCTCGCATAGCGAGGTTAATCCGTTCCGGATTAACCTTCACTATAGCGAAACATCGCTGACCGGGACAGGGAAAGCCATTGGAACGCATTAAACATCGTTTAATGCGTTCCAAAAGGCTCCTTTACTCACCGTTCAGCGAAGTTTCCTATGGCCGGGAGCCATTTTCGCGCCCTCGTTAAGCGAGGGGAGGGCGCGAAAACGCTGCGCGTGGCCATTACGGAGCTTCCGGCGGCCATTTTGTCCGCCGAACAGCTGATCGTCGGGGCTTCGTTTTGCGAAGATCGGTAAGCGAAACGCTTACCGAGCTTCATAAAGCGATTTTCGCCCTATCTAAACGTCGTTGAGCGATCGCATTAGCGATCCAAAAAACCGGATCGCTATGCGATTTCGTCGTTATACGGTGCGCTCGTTAAGCGAGGCACCACTGTAATTTGGTCTAACTTTTCACTACGGTTGATAAATGATAATGCAGTATCTTGGTATGTTATTAGAACCACTCTGTTTCAGAGCAAAACACTTGTAATTGTTTTATTGAAAATATTCAGTTCCCATCACTTTAGCTTGTTCACCCTAAATGTTTTATTATTTAGATGTTCAGTTTCTTGCTGTTTTGTTTCATGCTTACCTTGAGTTATACTTCTTACAACTGCTTCAGTCATATATTATGCAGTACTGGATTTGCCTTTTGCCTTTGAGCATATTGGCAACTAAACATCATTTTAACTCAGTTGCTTCATTAGTCACAGGTCCATTTATACTTGTCCTTTGCTGTTTCCCCGTGGCTGATTCAAGTACGTTCTACAGTTCCAGTTTGAGATTGCTGATTCTGTCAAAGGAGAGTGTCACAATCGCCTTTGAAGACCCTATTCCCCTGGCCTTCACAAGGCTTACGCTCTTCTTTCCTCCTTGCTGCCACCAGATATTAATGCATTAATACCAAGTCAGTGTCAGGACACATGTGATACCAAACGTAAATAGTTTAGTTAACAGGTGAAGATGATAATCAGTGAGGACCTGTAGAATCAATTACTAGATGTAAATCTATTAGAATACTTTTTCTTAGCTCTTTTAACCCTCTGTTTCAATCTCCACTCTTTCAGTTCTCTAACCCACATTTCACTTCTTTCAAACCACACTCAGTCTCTCTCCCCCCCATCTTTTTATCTTTTTCCCCTCCCCCTGGCTCCGCCTTCCATTCTCTCATTGGCTCCTCGTCAGTGTTCCACTGTGACGGGCAGGTTAGGTCAGGGCTGTTCCCTACAGAGCGAAACTCCCTTCTACACATGAGTCTTTTCTTCTCTTTTTTAAAATCTGATTTTCAATTATAATTAGAGTAATAGAAAATCTCATTTCTGACATTTTGAAGTGTAAGGCATCAAACTTTTAAATATTTCAATCCCACTCCCACTCCATTTTCAGTCTGCAGCTGATTTCAGCCACTGAAGATCCATACGTTGGACTCATCCAACGGAAATGCTTCTTCAAAACAACTTGCACAGTTTCCTACATCTCCACACCTTTATAAATTGTGCAAATAGTTTAAAATAATTTAAAGTCTGCCTGGAGTTAATCTCTGTCAGTTCATTCTCTTTTTCAGAGAGGAGGAAAGGGATTTTCAATTTGGAACAATTGTTATGATGTCCTTGACAGTTTTATTTTTATTTTTTTAAACATTTTTAACTATTCATTCTCTCGATTCTCAACTGACATGGAAATGTGTGAATACTAGAACTGTTATGAATGTCTAGTTGTGTCTCCTTCTTGTCTCTGAATTTAATATATGTGCAACATAATTTGAAGAAGTATGTGGCCCCTTAATTTATTCTAGTTCCTGTTTATGGTGTAGCAACATACCTATGATAGTGGTCTCAAGTTCCCATCTTTGCCCAGTTAGAGTTTTCCAAAGTTTCAATCCTATGCACGCTTTTTTGGAATGTACATTAGTCTCGTTGATTTTAGCTAGATTTGCTTTTCTTAGGTGATTATCCACATTATCAGAATCATGATTCTTGCTGGTAGTTACAATTTTTAATATTTGCAACCAGATGAAGATTTTCATATTTAGAGTAATAACTTGTCAGATTAGTAAACAGCTATATCAGAGCTGATTTCAGTTTAATAAGTTAATCACTCATATTTGAAGAACTATTTAAATTGTTTTATTTAACTTAAACAATAACATAATATAGTTTACATATTCTTTTAATTGCATATGAATGTTTTTGAACTGAAGTGATTAAACAAAATATCTTTTAAAAAACCAAAAAATACTTCAAGCTATGAGCACAAAGATCCCAAGGTTTGTAAGCTGCTCAGAAGATTTCACTTATATTTTTACTGCTCTATCCTCCCTCCTCACATTTAGAGTCTGATACAGATTTATTTCACTTCAGACAAACATCACACCTAGCATTTAAGGTAATGTATTCATTGTATGTAGATTTACAGAACAACAATGGAATTAAGGTCTTCTCCTGAACTTTGTTTATTTTATGCCATTTTTCCTATGAAAAAGTGCATGTTATCTCAGCTTGGATAACCTGGATTAATTGAATTAGTTTACCAAAAATGTAAATATTGCATTAACATGCAGCCTCATGGTACTAAGCCCTATTTCATGTTGAATAACATTTGAATTATAGTGTATCTCAGAAATGTAGCTTTCAATAAATTTTACTTCCAAAAGCATTTAATTAAAAGTTTAAAAAATCCAATTTAAACCAACCGCCCCATTGAAACAAAAAATTACCAAATTTTAATTTAAAAAAACACCATTGATTTTAATCCCCCCTATTAACAGACCTGCTGGAGGTCTACAAATCATGTAATTGATAAACTGCTGTTCTTTGTAACTAGTGAATAAACTAAATTTAATAAAATATTTTGAAAACTAGCACCTGGAAACAAAAGTATTATTCTTACAGGCTTCTGATCTCTTAAATTGATTCAGAAAGGTGAAAAAAATTCAAGAATAGTACCGTATTTCATTTTTAAAAAGAATGTTTTAACCTGTATTAATATATTTGTTTTAGGTGACATAGAGAGCAGAAAAGCATTACATCAGTATTTTAAGTAAATAGTATCAACAGTGTCTTCATCCCCATTCATAATGTAGCACAGTTCTACAAATATGTGCCTGTTTGCCTGTGAAATTCAACTATTAGTCCATACTTCTAAACCCATTTCACTTCCCCCTGTCTAACAGTGTCATACTTTTGCTTCAGATTTGGTTCCTGCATTTCTGGGCAATTCTTTGTTCCCTGGGATCCCTCACTTGATTTCAGCCCCTTGTGATTGGGTAGTCTATTTTCTTTTCTCCATCGAGAAACTGACTTCGAACTTTTATCATTGGTCTGTAGAATCTCAAGCTTGGGGTGGAAGGGGAGCCTTTAATAGTAAAATATCGTGGTGAAATTGGAACTGATTGTGTCAGTTGATATTCAGTGCTTGTGTCAGAGAGTTTTGTTATATTAATTAGTCATTGTCTTCTTAGTGTATTGTTTTAAGAATATTGCCATTATGGAATTATGGTATAGGTGAAAACTAGTGTCTGTTGTAGGTAGTTTGTAGCAAGGTTCACTTTGGGAATGCTTTAAAAAGCAAAACATGATAGTGGTTGTATGTCTTGTGGCTCTAGAAAAATGTAGTTTCCTTACCAGAAATTCGCTACTCATATGTTCCCTAATATTTTCACTCCATTATTTTCTTCCCACAGATTCATCATATTACTCACAATGGAGGCTTATATAAAAAGCCTTTCAATGAAGCTTTTGAAGAAACACCAATGCTGGTTGCTGTGTTGACGTATGTAGGTTATGGTGTCCTCACCCTTTTTGGATATCTTCGAGACTTTCTGCGGTACTGGAAAATTGAGAAATGTCATAACGCAACTGAAAGAGAAGAACAAAAGGTAATAGTTTACAATTATTTTTCTTTTTGATTCAAGCTGTGATTGAATTTGTTTGCAACAAGGGGAATTAAAACAGCAAACTGTTGTTTTTGCTTGTGTTAACTTGACATAGTTTTTGTTCAGATACGATGAGAAACCACAGTTTGTGCCAACTGCAGTTCAGACTGAATCATAAGTAAATCATTCTAGATGTCCAGTTAGATGGGTGTAGATATTGCCATGTGAACTGCACTGTTACCAATTGCTGGCAACTGAAGTAGGTTTGGGAAGCTGAAGGCTTGCCTCTTGAAAAAGCACATAATAAAGCATAGCTCTCCAAAGTTATCTTCTCCATTTCACAGTTCTCTAATGCAGAGGTCATCAACCCCCGGTCCGTGGCTCATTACTGGTCCATGGCTTAAGCTGCCAAGACAGACCTCCCACACACACCCCGCATGCACTCACCCCAGCGAAGGTTGTTTGCACCTGCTCGTGCACCTGCGCAAACGGCGGCACGGCCTCACGGAGCCGGCTGTAAAGCTAGCAGTGTGGAGGGACTCCATGGCAGGAGACAGGAACCCGGGAAATTCAAATGGCCCCCCCACCGGCCTCTGTCTCCAGCCGCGGGGTCCCTCCATGCTGCTGGCTTTCCAGGCTGGCTGGAAAGCCAGCAGCATGGAGAGACCCCGAGGCAGGAGGTAGGAGCACGGTGGGGAGGCCATTTGAATTTCCCGGGCTCTGTCTCCGAGCTGCGGCGTGATTGCTGGGTGAGTTCTGCTGGCCTGCCTGAGGGAGGGAGGGGGGTGCACATGGGGAGTCAAGCCCGTGCTCGCTTGAAACCTGCTCCCTGCCTTCTCAAGAGGAGGGTTGTGGCTGGACGCTCAGCTCCCCCTTCTCCATGTGTGGGTTGCTGAACCTGAGGAATGTGGAGAAGATGAAAGAAAGCCGGCGGTCTCTTTAAATCTGGGCTTGTTGGGATCTCTCAGTCCTCATCCCCCATCCCTCTCCACTTTGGTGGCCACTTTTCAATCCCTGTGTGAGCAAAAGGGCTTCCTCTGCAGCGAAGGAAGGAAAATGCCTGCCCACTGGAGGCGGAGGGGGGAGGCGGTGGAAGGGAAGGCAAGCAGCCGCTGACGCAGCAGCAGAAGCAGCACCAGCGGCTGCAGTAGCCCCGAGCAGCACCGGGTGATGGGCCACTAGCGACCCCCCTATTGCAACCAGCTGGGAACGCAGGGCGATGGGGCAAGGCGAGGAGGGTTTCGCACAGCCCTGACAGCCCGCCCGCTTTCCCTTGTGAGCCTACCTCCCCCCACTTGCCCAAGAGGTGGGTGCGTCACACACGAGCGCACAAAATCGACCTGCGAGCGTGGCACACCCACCTGTGAGCGTGGGGGTGCCCCTGCCCACCAACCGATCCACGCATGGAGTCTGTACCCCTGAACCGGTCCGCGGTCCGAAAACGGTTGGGGAACACTGCTCTAAGGAATGTTCTCTCCCTCTTCTTTTCTCAGGTTGTCAGGTAATTAAACACTTGAGGTTTGTAGGATCTACTTTGTTTGTAAACAAAAGCCATAGTTCCACCACTTGGAAACAGGTGCAAAGCAGGGGCCCAGGCAGATCTACATATGCTATATATTAAGAAACAGCCTGTCTCTGAGTACTGTATATGCTCAGTCCATGAATATTTGTTTAGTACCACAATTATGCTCAAGGTTTTATTTTATAGAGAAGAATTCACTTCTGCTTTTCCTAGCTGTTCTTTTTCAGCAGTCTAATCTGGGTAGGGATGAGGGAAGTTCTTAGACAGATAGATGGATTCAGACACTATAATTTACTACAGATCAGTCAGAGATATACCACTAACGTTGAACTAGTCCACGAATATTTGTTTAGTACCACAACTATGCTCAAGGTTTTATTTTATAGAGAAGAATTCACTTCTGCTTTTCCTAGCTGTTCTTTTTCAGCAGTCTAATCTGGGTAGGGATGAGGGAAGTTCTTAGACAGATAGATGGATTCAGACACTATAATTTACTACAGATCAGTCAGAGATATACCACTAACGTTGAACTAATTAGATTTTCTCTCCTCTATTGACTCCAGTATCTTAAGCATTGTTAATGTATCTGACAGGTAGTAGGAGGGAACAAGCAAATTTCACAGATGTTACTAAATTAAATGTATTTGTTATGAGAGTACATACATTTTGCACACAGCCCCTATAACTAAGAACAATTACCGTATTTTTCGCTCCATAAGACGCACAGACTTTCCACACCCCTGTTTTGTGGGGAAAAAGTGAGTCTTATGGTGCAAAAAATACAGTAAATAACATAACATACATTGTTGACTATAGCTTACTAAAGCCAATGGATTTCTTAGCTCTTTGTATTTACCATAGATGATGTACCTCTTGCTCAATACCTTGTAGACACATATTTGCGCACTATCTTACATTCGGATTTCTGTAAGAATTATAGTAGCAGTAATAGTAATGGGTCGGAGAGTTTGCGCCAAAGTAAGCAAAGGTTTCTGGGTTTTTGTACCACATGAAATCAAGCAAACAAATATTTCACTTCCTAAGTATTAGCTTCTATTGTACAGTGGTGCCTTGCTTAGCGACGTTAATCCGTGCAGGAAAAAAATGTCGCTAAGCAGTTTTAAAAAGCCCATAGAAATGCATTAAAACACATTTAATGTGTTCCTATGGGCTTAAAAACTCACCTTATGAGAAAATCCTCCATGGGGCGGCCGTTTCCGGTGCCTCGAAAGCGAGGCAACACAGCGGGTGGCCATTTTGGAACCGCGATCAGCTGTGCGAAAATGGGGCCTTTGGGATGATCGCGGGGAGTGCTTCTATGTAAAGAGAATATATACAAAATGTTCTACAGATGGTACATGACCCTCCAAAACACTGGCTAAAATAAGCATCCCGATTTCAAATACATGTTGGAAATGTAAACAGAAAGAAGGAACATTTTATCACATGTAGTGGATGTGCAAAGATGCCCAAAGATACCGGAGTAAAGTGAATCAGATACTACAAGAGATATTAGAAACTTCAATACCAATGGTACCAGAACTATTTCTATGAAATATCTTGCCAGATATATTAGACTCTGAAAAATCATATTTAACTAGTCATATTATAACAGCAGCAAGAATAGTTTTTGCGAAACATTGGAAGGAACCTAGAACACCGCAAATAGATGTAGTGACAGATAAAATCCTTGAAACCGCAGAAATGGACATACAGTGGTGCCTTGCTTAATGAGTGCCCCGTTTAACAATGAATCCGCATAGTGATTGAGTTTTTGCGATCGCTACGTAGAAGGTCGTTCTCGGCCAGGGTGGGGGCGCGGTGCCTCACTCTCCCTGTCCAGGCTGGAGCTGCCAGGGGAGAGAGAGCCAGCACTGTAGCACAGCTGATCGGCAGGGCCTTTGGGATGATCGCAGGGAAGCGCTCCCCCGCAATCATCCCAAAGGCCCCATTTTTGCACAGCTGATTGGCGGGGCCTTTGGGATAATCGCGAGGAAGCGCTTCCCCGCAATCATCGCAAAGCAAATTTTCCCCATGGGGCCATCGCAAAGCGATCACTCTTGTGATGGCAAAAAGTCCATCGCAAAGTGATTTCATCGTAAAACGGAGCGATCGCTATGCGAGGCACCACTGTATATTCAAAGGAAACATCACCTATTGCCAAGGTTTCCTCTAAACTGGGAGCATGTGCACGTATGACTCCGCCTTCTTCTTGGCAGCTCTCTTCCTCCTCTGCACAGTGATTGCCTTTGGTTCCAGTTATAATAGAATCCTGCAACGAGGGGGGTGGGTTATTTGTAATCTAAATCTTTCAGAGCAGGACATGTTGTGCTTGTTGAGATAAGCATCAACATCTCCTTGACCTATTGCAGACAGTGCATTCTCCATATGTTTCAGTGGTACAGTGCTCTCATTCTGTATTATGGACTCCTCCAAGTTTTGGTAGGTCTCTTGTTTGATGTGTGTGTGTGTGTGTGTGTGTGTGTGTGTGTGTGTTTAATTAGCTGCATCCGTTTTGGTGTCTGGTAGGGCATTCTGACAATCCTGGTTAGTTTGAGGCTCAGTAGAGAGACCTTTGTCAAGATCTTTCCCTTCCTGTGTGTTTCAGATCTGTCTGAGGCAGAGTAGTACAGGAATAGGAAACTCTAGGGACACTGCATTCCTGAGTCTCATATGTCATCTCGCCTTTCTTTATCTCTGGATCTGGCAACAGCCCACTGACCTTTAGATTAGGGAAGTCCCTTAAAAGCCTGCGTGTTTTCTCGTAAAGGTAAAGGTTCCCCTTGACATTTAGTCCAGTCATGTCTGACCCTAGGGGGCGGTGCTCATCCCCAGTTCCAAGCCGTAAAGCCAGCGTTTGTCCAAAGACAGTTTCCATGGTCACATGGCCAGCACACCTAGACATGAAACACGTTACCTTCCCACCGAGGTGGTACCTGTTTATTTACTTGCATTTTTACATGCTTTCTAACTGCTAGGTTGGCAGGAGCTGGAACAAGCAACGGGAGATCACTCCATTGCATGGATTCGATCTTACGATTGCTGGTCTTCTGACCTTGCAGCACAGAGGTTTCTGCAGTTTAACCTGCAGAGCCACCACCTCGCTCCTTCATCTTCGAACATCCTCCAAAATCTCCTTTCCCCCTGATCTTTTATATCCTCCTCCCATACTGACATTTTCAGCTCCTCCCCTTTTCCTCTTTCTCCTTCCTCCGCCAGACAGACTTCTAGCCTTCCCTTCTCTTCTTCTGTCTTTTCCTTTTCTATCAGTATCTCTTTCACCTCAGTCAATTTTCTCTCTATGATTTCCTCTTCCTCTTTTGGTATCTCTATCAGAGAGGACTGCTCACTTTCCTCCTCCTTTTCTTCACATTTTTTTTCTTTTTTGTTATTCACATTTCAAAATCAACATATAAAATCAAACAATTTCATAATAATAGGTGCATGAAGTAAAGCTTATTTCTTGCAAAATTTGTACACT